CTACTGTTCAAAACAGATGGATTTAAAGTGTTTTGCATTTCAATGCGATGTGAATTGCTTGCTCAGAAAGGTAAACATCGATAACAAGAGTTGTGACTTTATCCTATCAACCCGCCTCATATATGAGAACAACCGTGGCACAGTGAGATCGAACGAAGACTCCGGCAGCAGCACACCCCAACAGTCCATGATCGAATCCCAAATCAGACCCATTAAAAAGATATGTGAAAGCTCTGGCCTCTGGCAGTTTTGTTTTTATATTTGTTGTTTCATTGTAGAATATTGAACTATGATGTGTATAGCTATTGATATCACCATATGAGGCACATAGAATCCAAGTGTGTCACAATTCAAATTTATAGTGTTCAGGCATGATTTATAGCATAAGATTCACATATGAAATGGATGTGTTTCACAATGAGCGCAAAATTAAGTGTGAGACACATGGTGATGACGTGTGGAATTTTTTGAGTGTGGTGTTTTTTTTTTTGCGTTAGACAAGTTGCTGACATGCGTTAGACAAGTTCCTGTGAGGGGTAAGTTTGTTACTATTGATTTCCACACCCAATTATTGATTCGGTTGCGAAATGTGCGTAGACGCCAGTTTCAGAGGACTGGAGACCTGGGCAAAAAACGTGAAATGGCCGATCTGAACAGGCAGATTGCTTCCAGAATGGACGCACTCCGAAACGAAAGTTTCGTTCGTGTTGTCCAGAATCTGAACGACCGCTCCAGACCATTCTGGAAGGTAGCCAAGGTCCTGAAAAATCATCACAAACCCGTTCCACCTCTCAGAGTCGAAAATGATGACGATCGGCTTTTAATCACCCCACAGGAGAAAGCAAATGCGATCGGCAAGCATGTCGCTTCATCGCATTTAATCATGTTTTGTTGTTTTTGACATCATCCACATCCAGAGGGCCAGTCACTTCGAATTTATGGGAATGGTAGGAAACCATTTGGAAATGCATGAAAATTTTCAGTTTTTATTCATTATCGTCTTTATGGGCAGTTTTAGATGCAAAAATTGCACGAGTACATTACTATGGTGATAAGGTAAACACTCGTTTATTTGTTTCCTTCTGTGAAAGCATGTTTAGGCACAAATCGTGGATTTTATGATATTCTAAATACTGCAAAAATGATTTTCCTACCACTGAAGGGGCGACATCTCTCGGATCTTCAGTGTAGCTACTACTCAAATCATATAATTATTTGTTTGGCTCGACTATCCAAAGTCAGCTCGATGATCAGGTTGCGCAATGCGTTTAAAATCTAGATGCCTCCTCTTGTTCCGTGCCTCCGGTGGATACGATTACAGTACAACAGATTTGCTCAGCGCTGAAATGCACCAAGAACATGAAGGCTCCAGGGTTTGACGGTATATTCAACTTGATCTGGCAGAGACTCCCTTCTAGCCGCTATCTTCAACAGATGCTTGCAACTGCACTACTTTCCAAGCGTCTGGAAGGTAGCAAAAATCATACCAATCCGCAAACCCGGTAAGGATCCAACATTGACTTCAAGCTACAGATCAATCAGCCTCCTTTCAGCGCTGAGCAAATTGTTCGAGAAACTCATTCTCAATCGTTTGCTCAAGTTTGTCTAGGAAAATAACATTCTCCTTCCGGAACAGTTTGGGTACGGGTGATGAATAACATCCGAAGTAACAAAGCTGTATCCAAGTCATCAGCCATGGCCTTGCTAGACGTCGAAAAGGCATTTGACAATGTTTGGCATGACGGACTTGTGTACAAGCTTTGTAACTTCAACTTCCCATTACATCTGGTTAAAATCACCCGTAACTACCTCCAGCAAATGTCGTTTAAGTTATCGTTGAATGGTTGTCTTTCAGACACGTTTTCCATCCCAGCAGGAGTCCCGCAAAGCAGTCTGCTGGCCCCCTTACACTTCCTCCCCTCGGAGACGGTTGCGTGTTTTTCCTGTTCGCAGATGATACCGCAATAGCCGTCAAAGGAAGGATGCCTCGCGAAATAACGAACAAACTTCAACGGTGCCTTAACGCCTTTGCTGATTTTGCCACCACGTGGAAAATCACAATCAATGCCTCCAAAACACAAGCGATCATGTTCCTCCATCGGCAATCGCCCAAACTGAAACCAGCTTCATCTTGTACTGTACCTATCTCGGGATGTTGTTCGATGAAAAGCTCCTCTTCACAGTGTGTGACTTCGAATCATAGTTTAATATTTACTTGTTGAATTTTAAGTTTAATTGAAGTTGAGTTTGTCTATTTGAATGATCTGAAACATGAATTTATAAACTCTGAAAATAGTTTGTATGCTAAACTTCCAAAAGGAGAAGGGCTGAGGTGTTAGAAATCAGCGTGTAGTAAAATTAGTTGTTCGAAGGTATCGTGTAATTAGCTGTTTATATTTAGCGTGTATAGCAACGGTCGATTCCGTTGAACGCCAACGAATACATGCAAGATGATGTGATAAACGACTAAGCAGACGAAGGTCTGATCGAAGAGTAAAATAAACAAGACAGGTCTTAGTATCTGACACCTCAAAGGATCCAGTTCTGTTACTTTTGCTTCTTCTCTAAATAACGGTTTAGTTTTAGCTAATTCTACCACATAGTTTGATAAAGGAGGTTCTTATCTAGCGTCCAAAACGTCAAATACAACAGGGAAAGGTTTTGCATCTGAGTTATTGACGAAAGAGAAAGTCGATGAAGAGAATCGATCATGCAGATAGGACCTTTTGAAATGTTAATCTAGATATAGGCAGAAACTGATCACTCACACACTCACAGCTTTTTGGCTGTTAGGTCAACTGAAAAACGTCTCATGGATCACCTTATTACAAAGGTAAGAAATCACTGCCAGTTACTCTGGCTCACCCTGTAGACGTATCTTAACTAAGCTAAAATTCAAAATTAAGCGTTCAATTGCAGTAAACTACCATGGTCAAGCAAACTTTCTGCATGTGAAAAATAGAACTTGGTAATTAATTTGTCATTGTTTCAATTGAACTATTCCGCTTTTAAACACGCACATTCAAACAAAAGTCAGTCGGCTTGTCAAATATCAACAGAACGCAAACACGCATACGATACCACTGTCGATTGGTGTTTATTATGGCTATATTACTGCAATCACTTTGTTCATCACTCGTCTTCACTCGTAAACACCATGCACCGTCATCATCATCATCATCAGCGACTGAAACAACAACAACCCCCCTTGTTCTGTGTTGCCACACTCAACACGAAGTAACCTTGACATTGGCTTCCCGAGCAGCAATTTTACGGATGTTGGCCCCTTCCTCCTCCTTCCATCCACCCCTAAGCCTTCCAACTATTCCAACGAGCACTGCTACGATCCGAGAAAGCCGAAAAACTTCACATTGTTGTTATGTAAATCCTCCAAATGACCGATCGACCGGCTGGCAGGCTGGCTCTGCCTGCTAGATTAGTCGGCATAGGTCGACATGGTAACCTCGCTTTCAATTAATAGACCTCAGTCAGTTCAGTTGGTTGTTCGGCTCGCATCTGTATCTATCGTGTTATAAAAATTGCCTCGCTTTTCGAACGAACGGCTCCCCCTCCCCCACCCCTCCCATTAATCGCATAAAATGCATGCATTTGAATTTTAAAATGGAATGAGATACCTATCCGTACTTAGCACGTGCTTGTATGCGGAATATTAAACGAAACACCGCGCGTGATTGATACGACGGAGACACCTGGTGGTGAGAATTTGACAACCGCTGTTGCATGCAAGTTGGAGTGCGGCTGGTTTGCAAAAATCTTCGTGACCTACTTTGATGTGTGTACAGTTTTGGTCAGAAGAAACGCTGAAACGGTGTTTCATGCTGCTTCTGACAGTAGTCACTTGTATGGGGTAATTCCATTTTAATTAAAAATAACAATAATGGTGCTATTGGTCCGATACATTATTTCTTCATAATGTCACTATTACATACTATTACGAAAAAGAACAAAATGTAGACATTTTCTCACTGCTAGAAGCAAGGTTTAAAGAATATCTCCTTACCGCAAAACTGGTGTATCCACCATTATCCAAGGCTTTCGAAGAAGTTGATTTTGACGGTTGCTTTTTTCTTGTTCCTTTATCCAAACAGAATACAATGACACAATGGAATATAATATTCACGGGTGAAAGCATTTGCATGCGAAAGGAAAAACTTAGTTCCCACGGCCGATGAAAGTAGTCCAAAATTGAGTTCGACTCAAAAGTGCCAAAAGTGACTCGATTTTCCAGGAAAACTTATTTTCAAGAGAGATATTTCATTCAATCTATTAGTATACTCCTAAACGGCCAATGAGATCAACCCAAATTTGCGTTCAGTTTACTCAAAAATGTATAGGTACAGGAACTCACCGATGAGTAAATTTACCTCGTGTTTTTCCAGGTTTGTCCAGGAAAAACTTCCCGAATATGGGAAAAGTAAAGATTGGATTCACTCAGCCTATTTTCACTTCTCCTAGACTGAGTAAAATTCCCGTCAATTTTCTTCATTTTCCGGCAGATTTTCTAGATTTTCCACAGGAAAACATGAGGCAAATTTACTCACCGTTGAGTTCCTGCACTTTTTACGCTCTATGAGCAAATTTGGAATGACCTCCTTGGCCGTGTAGACTTAGTAATTTTCGTCGATCTCCATCATAGTCATGGGGGAAAACAGAGGAAAATGTTACTCACTCACTGAGCAACCCCACTTTTAGCATTTTTTTTTAGCCAAATTCGACTCAGTTACTGAGCTACTCTCATTGGCCGTGCATATAATAGAAAAGCCAACACCGCCACGACACCTATAGGGGTAGTGGTGGGTTCAATTTAAAAATTCACCCAAGCACGGAAACACAATACAATTAGACACAAATACCTTTCACTTAATATCCTAAAGTACACATCATGTGGTAAGTTAATAATAATATGAATGCAATAAAATCGTATGTTTTTATAGATGATCGTTACGATTAGAGTCATCTGGTGTTTTTGTTAGAGAAAAAAAAAAACAGATCATTTTCCGCCATTTTGAAATGAGTAAAACTTAGTTTTGGGTGGGCGTCCTTTTTTGAAAAGTTCCACCCACGAAGAATTTGTTGTCGCTTTGTCTAGTTGTCTCTGGTTCGATTTTGTATACATGATTCGTTACTTTTCCTCTCCCTCAATCTTTGCGTTGTTAGGTTAGGTTAGGTTAAAAATTTTAGAATCTCCATTAAGCGAACACTAATTTTTTGTCTGTTTTACTTGTAAATAACCAGCGTTAATAGGTAGGTAATTTATGCGTGTTGTTTTGTGTATATCATTTGAACGTTTGTTTGAGACCTAGACAACTCTATATTGTTTTGCTCTCATTTCCGAGTTTCTCGATGGGCACAGTGCCCTCCTACTTGGCCGCTTCCGGCGGGCAGTCCGGTTGATTCGAAGGATGCGCCGCGCGGAACGCCGGATGGCCCTCTAGTTCCCGATCGATGCGCAAGATGATCGGATACGGACGCAGATCGACGTGGAAGCGCCGGGCGTTGAACACCTGCGGTACGAGACAGCAATCGGCCAGGGTGATTTCATCGCCGACGCAGAACTTGCCGGCCGACGTGGACAGCAGTTTCTCGATGGCCCGGAATCCACGGGTGATCCAGTGTTGGGCCCATTCCTTCTTCTTCTCCTCGCCGACGTGGATCAGCACGATCAGGTTCTGCAGCGGCTGGATGCCGGAGGCGATGACCTACCGAAGAGAAAGAGTTGCCGGATTCAGTGATATTTTAAGGGAAGGAAGTGATACTCTTACCTCGCAAATCTCGCGAACCTTGGCACGTTTCAGGACGTCCTGCGGTAGCAGGGGACGCTGGGGACGCGTCTCCTCCAGATAGTGCAAAATTGCTAGCGATTCTACCAAGGTATGCCCATCTGAAAAGATCATATAAACAAAATACGTTAGTTATTAGAGCTCAGCGCCGATTCATCGTAATACAATCACTATCATCGCGCTATGAAAGCGCTTATCAGACACTCGGAGGAAGATGATCCGAAAAAGCGTGTAGGTCGAGGAGTAAATATCGAATTGTTTTATGGCGATAATGGACGGCGGCAGGGCTTCAATCGACTTTTAATTGGTCAAGTTCCGATCCGGAGCGGTTTGCATTGACTTGGGGCCGAAGAGCCGACCGACTGGACATAAGTCGTCCGGAACTAGTGACGAGTGGACGTTTCGATTGGTAGATAGTGAAAGAAGCGCGTTAGAAGAGTGATAAGATGATGAAGTTAGTGATTTTAGGCCTGCTGGCTTGCGGACAGGTAGGTTTGGAAGGTGTTTTTTTTGCGTTGTGTCTCGGGCAAGTTTTTCTACTTAGTCTCGGTCATCGAAGAATTCTAAGTGTTCTAGACGTGATATCAATTTGAAAGCTGGTTTACAGTTCAGAAGATGCACAGTCACTGAGACGAATTCAAAATCGAATGAAATTTTCGAGGGGGTGATTCTATCTGCGATGCAGGAATGTTCTGATGTAATTAGCTGCGCGCACGCTGAGTGCACTGAGTAGATATAGAAAGAAGATTGATGACAATTCTTAAGATTCCCTGCAAAAATATGATGCGCGATGCAAGTAGATGCATTCGACGTGGTTCTAGAAGAAAAAATTTCAAAATAATGTTTAATTTCAAAGTTCGAGTGGTAGTAAACGTCATTTTAGCTGCTCGAATGAAGTTGTTAATTGAGATTTAGATTTGTCGCCCCCTCGAAAATTTCACCAATTTTAACCAAAACGGAGGTTACTCATAAACTGAGTAACCCGTACTCAAGGATTAAGTAAATGTAGCTAAAATCCTCCCTACCGGTGACAAGTACGGTTCACGAATACAATCATATAATTTTGATAATTGATTACTGTTCCAAGGACATCCCGAACGTGCCCTAGATAATAATCCAAAGAGCCATATGCCATATTGAATGTACAATTTTAAAATGTCTGTGGTCCAAAATGGGAATTTGGCAGGAATTTCTTAGACAAAAATCAACAAGCAAGCAACAGCGGTTGATATTGCAAGCTGTGATATCGCAGCTCGGAATGTCAAGCTAACAAAACTCACCAACTGCAAATCTCTCCAAACGGTGGTGAGTTTGAGTTTCATGATTTGTGCTTTCCACCCGAACGCAACCAAAACTTCCATAGCGGCTGGCAGCAGACGAAGCGTATCTGCCATCGGAGAAGAGAAAAAAGAGATAGCATTATTATACCTTCTCTTTCTAACAAAACGAGGTGCAACGGAATCATTTTTGCGTCGATTCTGTCTTTCGACTTTCTGCCTTTCGACTTTCTGTCTTTCGACTTTCTGTCTTTCGACTTTCTGTCTTTCGACTTTCTGTCTTTCGAATTTCTGTCTTTCGAATTTTTGTCTTTCGACTTTCTGTCTTTCGACTTTCTGTCATTCGACTTTCTGATTTCCGACTATCTGTCTTTCGACCTTCTGTCTGACAACCATCTGTCTTTCGACTTTGTCTTTCAAAATGCTGTCTTTCGACTTGCTGTCTTTCGACTTGCTGTCTTTCGACTTGCTGTCTTTCGACTTGCTGTCTTTCGACTTGCTGTCTTTCGACTTGCTGTCTTTCGACTTGCTGTCTTTCGACTTGCTGTCTTTCGACTTGCTGTCTTTCGACTTGCTGTCTTTCGACTTGCTGTCTTTCGACTTGCTGTCTTTCGACTTGCTGTCTTTCGACTTGCTGTCTTTCGACTTGCTGTCTTTCGACTTGCTGTCTTTCGACTTGCTGTCTTTCGAATTGCTGTCTTTCGACTTGCTGTCTTTCGACTTGCTGTCTTTCGACTTGCTGTCTTTCGACTTGCTGTCTTTCGACTTGCTGTCTTTCGACTTGCTGTCTTTCGACTTGCTGTCTTTCGACTTGCTGTCTTTCGACTTGCTGTCTTTCGACTTTCTGTCTTTCTACTTTCTGTTTTCCGACTTGCTGTCTTTCGACATTTTGTCTTTCGACGTTCTGTCTTTCGACTTTCTGTCTTTCTGGCTTCTGACCTTCTGTCTTTCAACTTTCTGTCTTCTGACCTTCTGTCTTTCGACTTTCTGTCTTTCAATTTTCTGTCTTTCGACTATCTGTTTTTCGACTTTCTGTCTTTCGACTTCTGTCTTTCGACTTTCTGTCTTTCGACTTTCTGTCTTTCGACTTTCTGTCTTTCGACTTTCTGTCTTTCGACTTTCTGTCTTTCGACTTTCTGTCTTTCGACTTTCTGTCTTTCGACTTTCTGTCTTTCAACTCTCTGTTTCTCGACCTTCTATCGTTCGACTTTCTATCTTTCGACTTTCTGTCTTTCGTCTTTCTGTCTTTCGTCTTTCTGTTGTTCAACTTTCTGTCTATCGACTCTCTGTTTATCGACTTTCTGTCTTTCTATTTTCTGTCTTTCGACTTTCTGTCTTTCGACTTTCTGTCTTTCGACTTTCTGTCTTTCGACTTTCTGTCTTTCGACTTTCTGTCTTTCGACTTTCTGTCTTTCGACTTTCTGTCTTTCGACTTTCTGTCTTTCGACTTTCTGTCTTTCGACTTTCTGTCTTTCGACTTTCTGTCTTTCGACTTTCTGTCTTTCTATTTTCTGTCTTTCTATTTTCTGTTTTTCGACTTTCTGTCTTTTGATTTTCTGTCTTTCGTCTTTCTGTTTTTCAACTTTCTGTCTTTCGACTCTCTGTTTATCGACTTTCTGTCTTTCTATTTTCTGTCTTTCGACTTTCTGTCTTTCTATTTTCTGTCTTTCGACTTTCTGTCTTTCGACTTTCTGTCTTTCGACTTTCTGTCTTTCAACTCTCTGTTTCTCGACCTTCTATCTTTCGACTTTCTGTCTTTTGACATTCTGTCTTTCGACATTCTGTCTTTCGACTTTCTGTCTTTAGACTTTCTGTCTTTTAGACTTTCTCTCTTTCGACTTTCTGTCTTTCAACTCTCTGTTTCTCGACCTTCTATCTTTCGACTTTCTGTCTTTTGACATTCTGTCTTTCGACATTCTGTCTTTCGACTTTCTGTCTTTAGACTTTCTGTCTTTTAGACTTTCTGTCTTTCGACTTTCTGTCTTTCGACTCTCTGTTTTTCGACCTTCTATCGTTCGACTTTCTGTCTTTCGCCTTTCTGTCTTTCGTCTTTTTGTTTTTCAACTTTCTGTCTTTCAACTTTATGTCTTTCGACTTTCTGTCTTTCGACATTCTGTCTTTCGACTTTCTGTCTTTAGACTTTCTGTCTTTTAGACTTTCTGTCTTTCGACTCTCTGTTTCTCGACCTTCTATCGTTCGACTTTCTGTCTTTCGCCTTTCTGTCTTTCGTCTTTCTGTTTTTCAACTTTCTGTCTTTCAACTTTATGTCTTTCGACTTTCTGTCTTTCGACTTTCTGTCTTTGGACTTTCTGTCTTTTGATTTTCTGTCTTTCGACTTTCTGTCTCTCGAATTTCTGTTTTTCGACTTTCTGTCTTTCGACTTTCTGTTTTTCGACTTTCTGTTTTTCGACTTTCTATTTTTCGACTTTCTATCTTTCAACTTTCTGTTTTTCGACTTTCTGTCTTTCTATTTTCTGTCTTTCGACATTCTGTCTTTCGACATTCTGTCTTTCGATTTCTGCTTTCGACTTTCTGTCTTTCGATTTTTTGTCTTTCGATTTTCTGTTTCTCGACCTTCTATCGTTCGACTTTCTGTCTTTCGACTTTCTGTCTTTCGTCTTTCTGTCTTTCGTCTTTCTGTTGTTCAACTTTCTGTCTTTCGACTCTCTGTTTATCGACTTTCTGTCTTTCTATTTTCTGTCTTTCGACTTTCTGTCTTTCTTTTTTCTGTCTTTCTATTTTCTGTTTTTCGACTTTCTACCTTTTGATTTTCTGTCTTTCGTCTTTCTGTTTTTCGTCTTTCTGTCTTTCGACTCTCTGTTTATCGACTTTCTGTCTTTCTATTTTCTGTCTTTCGACTTTCTGTCTTTCTATTTTCTATCTTTCGACTTTCTGTCTTTCGACTTTCTGTCTTTCGACTTTCTGTCTCTCGACTTTCTGTATTTCGGCTTTCTGTCTTTCGACTTTCTGTCTTTCGACATTCTGTCTCTCGACTTTCGGCTTTCTGACTTCTGACCTTCTGTCTTTTTACTTGCTGTATTTCGACTTGTTGTCTTTCGACTTTCTGTCGTTTGATATTCTGTCTTTCAACTTTCTGTCGTTCAATATTCTGCCTATCAACTTTATGTCTTTCGACATTCTGTCTTTCGACATTCTGTCTTTCGACATTCTGTCTTTCGACATTCTGTCTTTCGACATTCTGTCTTTCGACATTCTGTCTTTCGACATTCTGTCTTTCGACATTCTGTCTTTCGACATTCTGTCTTTCGACATTCTGTCTTTCGACATTCTGTCTTTCGACATTCTGTCTTTCGACATTCTGTCTTTCGACATTCTGTCTTTCGACATTCTGTCTTTCGACATTCTGTCTTTCGACATTCTGTCTTTCGACATTCTGTCTTTCGACATTCTGTCTTTCGACATTCTGTCTTTCGACATTCTGTCTTTCGACATTCTGTCTTTCGACATTCTGTCTTTCGACATTCTGTCTTTCGACATTCTGTCTTTCGACATTCTGTCTTTCGACATTCTGTCTTTCGACATTCTGTCTTTCGACATTCTGTCTTTCGACATTCTGTCTTTCGACATTCTGTCTTTCGACATTCTGTCTTTCGACATTCTGTCTTTCGACATTCTGTCTTTCGACATTCTGTCTTTCGACATTCTGTCTTTCGACATTCTGTCTTTCGACATTCTGTCTTTCGACATTCTGTCTTTCGACATTCTGTCTTTCGACATTCTGTCTTTCGACATTCTGTCTTTCGACATTCTGTCTTTCGACATTCTGTCTTTCGATTTCTGCTTTCGACTTTCTGTCTTTCGACTTTCTGTCTTTCAATTTTCTGTCTTTCGGCTATCTGTTTTTCGACTTTCTGTCTTTCGACTTTCTGTCTTTCGACTTTCTGTCGTTCGACTTTCTGTCTTTCGACTTTCTGTCTTTCGACTTGCTGTCTTTCAACTCTCTGTTTCTCGACCTTCTATCGTTCGACTTTCTGTCTTTCGACTTTCTGTCTTTCGACTTTCTGTCTTTCGACTTTCTGTCTTTCTGTCTTTCGACTTTCTGTCTTTCGTCTTTCTGTCTTTCGTTTTTCTGTTGTTCAACTTTCTGTCTTTCGACTCTCTGTTTATCGACTTTCTGTCTTTCTATTTTCTGTCTTTCTATTTTCTGTCTTTCTATTTTCTGTTTTTCGACTTTCTGTCTTTTGATTTTCTGTCTTTCGTCTTTCTGTTTTTCAACTTTCTGTCTTTCGACTCTCTGTTTATCGACTTTCTGTCTTTCTATTTTCTGTCGTTCGACTTTCTGTCTTTCTATTTTCTGTCTTTCGACTTTCTGTCTTTCGACTTTCTGTCTTTCGACTTTCTGTCTTTCGACTTTCTGTCTTTCGACTTTCTGTCTTTCGACTTTCTGTCTTTCGACTTTCTGTCTTTCGACTTTCTGTCTTTCGACTTTCTGTCTCACGACTTTCTGTCTTTCGGCTTTCTGTCTTTCGACTTTCTGTCTTTCGACATTCTGTCTCTCGACTTTCGGCTTTCTGGCTTCTGACCTTCTGTCTTTTTACTTGCTGTATTTCGACTTGTTGTCTTTTGACTTTCTGTCGTTTGATATTCTGTCTTTCAACTTTCTGTCGTTCAATATTCTGCCTATCAACTTTATGTCTTTCGACATTCTGTCTTTCGACATTCTGTCTTTCGACATTCTGTCTTTCGACATTCTGTCTTTCGACATTCTGTCTTACGACATTCTGTCTTTCGACATTCTGTCTTTCGACATTCTGTCTTTCGACATTCTGTCTTTCGACATTCTGTCTTTCGACATTCTGTCTTTCGACATTCTGTCTTTCGACATTCTGTCTTTCGACATTCTGTCTTTCGACATTCTGTCTTTCGACATTCTGTCTTTCGACATTCTGTCTTTCGACATTCTGTCTTTCGACATTCTGTCTTTCGAATTCTGCTTTCGACTTTCTGTCTTTCGACTTTCTGTCTTTCAATTTTCTGTCTTTCGACTATCTGTTTTTCGACTTTCTGTCTTTCGACCTTCTGTCTTTCGAACTTCTGTCTTTCAACTTTCTGCCTTTCGACTGTCGTCAGAACATCCAAAATGGCCACATTTTTGTAAAAATGTGAATTTGGCGTTGAAGTGCTCAGCGGTAATCTTCAAGAAATTCCGAAAATTCCGGGGAAGTTAAGAGATATTTAGAACAGGTACAGTAATGTCCGGGTAATTCCAGGACGATTATCCGGAGAAATCTGAGAAATTCAGAAAAGATGAGAGAGTTTCAGGACAGTTATTTACTTCACGAAAATTTAAGGAATTCGAAAAAGGTTCCGAAAAATGAATGGATGTTCCGAAAATTTCTGGGAAGTTTCTTGAACAGACCTCTGCAAAAGTTTCGAACTCTTCTGGGCAGCTTCAAGTACCTCAAGACAGTTCCATTAGCATAAGGAAAACTGCAGCAACTTTTATAAAGATCTAAGAGCTCCCAGGAAGTGTAGAAAACTTCGGAGATGTCCAGAGAACTTGAAGAGAATTGTAAAATAAATGTTAAAGCAGTTCCAAGGAGCTCGGGGAAGCTGGGTTTAGAGATCTTCCGGGAAGCTCCCAAGTCTTAAGGGCTGTTCCAATAACTTCAGGGATATTCCGAGGAATGTCCAGACTTTTGGAGAAGCTCATAGATCTGTAAGGGCTGGTTCCAAAAAATTCAGGACAGTTCCAAGATTTTCAGAAATATTAAGATATCCTGCAAGAAGTTCCGAAAATTTTGGCAAAGTCCAGAAAAATACAGAAAAACTCAGAAAGTTCCTATTAGTCTGGAGAACTTCAGTGACGTTTCATTTCAAATAATTTCAGAGCAATTCATGAAATTTAATATCATTAAATGAAACCAAAATATGTGAAATCGACCACAACAACGACTAAATTATTAATGATAACGACAGACAATATTTGCCCTTGAAAAGGTCCCAACCCATGGCCAAAACGTCGGGAAGATTACATCGTAGTTGTTGCAGTGTTTAAGACTGAGAAAGCCGTCCCAGTCGTCACCACCATTACATTTAAATAAGTTCCAACGAGCTCAGGGAAGCTGGGTTTAGAGATCTTCCGGGAAGCTCTGAGGTATTAAGGGCAGTGGCAATACCTTCAGGGATATTTCGAGGAATGTCCAGACTTTTTGGGGAGTTCAATGATCTGTAAGCGCAAGTTCCGAAAAATTCAGGATAATTCCAAGATTTTCAGGAATATTTAGATATCCTGTAAGAAGTTCCGGGAAGTCCAGAAATATACAGAAAAGTTTAGATATTCTTCAGGAAGTTCCCCGGGAAGTCCGGACAACTTCTGTAACGTTTAAAGATGTTCGGACATTTCCAACTATTTCAGATTTCCATTCAGAACTTCAATGAAGTATCAGGACTTTCAAATAATTTCAGAGCAATTCATGAGAGTTTCAGGAACATTGAGGAATGTTCCGGAATGATTCATGAACCTCGGGAAAATGCGGTATCATTTTTAGGGAAGTTCAAATAACTTCATGGCAGTTTCGATTACTTTTATAATATGTTGGGAACTGCAGCGTAGATCCGATAACTTTCCAGAAGTTCCAAGATCTTGAGGGAAGTCCAAGGAGAAAACTTTAGAAATTTTAAGGCAGTTTCTTTCTCTACAGAAAAGTTCCGAGTTCTTCGAGTAATATCAAAGAATTTAAGAGCACTCCTATCAACTTCAGGAAAATTATAAAAAAAACTATCAAAAAATTTCAAGGAATTATGGGAAATTCCGCAAATTTTAGGAATATTCCGAAAATTGTGGGCTCTTAAAGATAATATCAGGAAAATTTCCGGAACAGTGAGGAAGATTCAAGCACTTCTGGAAAAATAAGAGAACTTCAGGGAAGCACCAAAAATATCAGGTCTTTGGTCTTGTCTTGTCTTAGAACCCAACAATTTTAGCTGCAATACGTTAACTAACTGAACAACTGCTATTTTAGCCTGTATTTACACAGCTTTTAGTCTGCTCAATTTTTTGTTAGGAAGCAAGTTTCGGAAACATTAGGAAAATTTTGGGACCTTAAGGGAAGATCAAAGGACTTCAATTAACTTTAGAAAATAGGCGTGGAACTTCTAAATTCTGGGAAGTATCGAATACTTTAGGCAAGTTTAGAGAACCTTAGGAATTATTAGAAAACTTTAAGAAAACTTTAATAACTTCAGAGAAGCATCGATAACCTCAGAAAAGTCCCCCATTTCCCCCAAGGGTCTATTGAAGATTGGTCGAAGGCGAACCAGCCTAAGGCTGAAAGCCTCCTAAATAAAGCTAAATTAATTAATCTATTGAAGATCCACTGAACATGCCCATGGAGTACAACTCTGGACTTGCTGCTGAAACTTGACGATGGTTTCAGTGGACTTAGTTTTAATAGAGGCGATTCAGGGGTAGGCCTTGGTCATATTTGGACAAGTTCAAAGAAATACTCCAAGTTGTTCTAAGGTTCAGAGTCCTTTGAACGTATTATTTACCATCAGCAACCTCTGGAGGCCTTTGAAACCCTCAATCATCGGGGTCTTCTGGATTCGTTCAAGGGGCCTTGTTAACTTACATCCAAGACTATCTAAGATCCTTTAGCGATTACATACATACTGACAAGCTATTATCATTGAACCGGTCTAGCAGCCTAACAGTACTCGTTATCTCAGCACTTATCAACTGTTATAAATGTCTATCGGATGCATTTGGTCTCATAATCCGCTTGTGCCCCTTATTGCACAAGCCATGACGTCAAACCAATCTCGTTCCGCCACAAACATAAATCAACACTGAAAAACTTTCCTCTATCTTCCCAAAACAAAAAAAAAAAATTCCAGATCGTCCTATCGGGCCCGATTGCAAACCCGCAAGCTGCCCCGGGGCCCACCGACATCGAAGACGAGCTGGCCGTGCTGACCGAGTTCGACCGGCTGTTCAACCAGCTGCACTACGACGTCGACTACAAGCTACGCATCTACCGTATGAACCATTCCCGTGACCTGAAGAACCTCAACGCCCAGTTCATCTCCCGGTACGGATTCGTCATCACCGACATCCAGCACATGAAGCAGCACGTCAAGGATGCCATCCTGGAGCACGCGCTGGACATCGGCGACACGCAGAACCCCTGCATCGTGGAGAATAATGACGAAGCGATCCGCCGAGCCACGCAGGCTGCCCGGGATCTGAGCATCGCGGCTGAGAAGGCCTACGGCGATCTGTCGACCATCACCAGGATCTACTTCTACCCGATCGTGAAGGACTTCCAGCAGAGCTCGACCGAGCTGCAGTGGACCGTTGTTGATATGCTGTCCCGGGACAATGCCGTCACGGGATTGCAGCTGGCGCTGGCCGATTTGGCCTTCAAGTACATGGCCAACGCGAATATGGTCGACCGGGTGATCAATAGCTTGGACTACGAGCTGGAAGGCTTTCAGGATATCATCAACACGGTTCGTCGCGCCGTGTTCAAGGAGATCGATGACATCGGACGGAACTACATGTTCAACATGGAGCAGCTGCTGACCGATGCTCTGGCATGTTAGTTATCTTTTTGGAGAATTGAATAATAAAAGACCATGTTCCCAGAATAGCTCCGGAGTGGTTGTTTTCTCTTTTTCTGGGGGTGTAATCTAATCTGCGAGTGATAGCGGGACGATTGAATAATATTTGGTTGGTTCGAAGGGGGGTCCGTTACGAAATTATATAAGGGCACTCGAGGTCGCCCGTGAACTTCATTATTGCAGTGAATCTAGGCGTGGTTAGAAAGCAAAAATGAAATTGTTGTCGTTGACGGTGATCACCTGTGGGCTGTTGGTAGGTGTTCAGTTCGTGAAGGTTTGAGAAATCGACCTCGGTTCTAATCTACGGATTGTTTTCTAGGTCTTGGCAAATGCCAAGCCATCGCGCAGCAGTATGACGGAGCTGGCTGATATTACCGAGGAGTTCCGCGTCAAGTTTGACAAGTTGCACACGGAAAAGGACGAATTCGTGAACCTGGCCCGCATCATCACCCGTGCCGAGCTGAAGTTGCTGAACGAAGCAACTACGAAAAATTTGGCTGATGCGTGGAGTGACATCGACCATCACTTCGACAACACAAGGAAGATCATCGCCGATATGATCTTGTATCCGAATGCCAACGAGGACTGCATGCTGGGACTGGTGGAGGAGATCGTTGCCGAGCGGATTCGCGCTGCGTATGAAATGAGCCTTTGTGCCGCTGATAAGATCGCCATCAAGGAAGGACTGGCCGACGAGTTCCGTGACTTGGTCAGCCTGCTGCAACGAATCTCGTCCGCCGCCGCCGAATACACACTGTTTTCGTTCGCCAATCACAACTCGTTCATCGATCCGGAGGGTCACATCGACTGGCTGGAGCGTAACTTCCAGAATCAGGTGGACTTCTGGGATAACGTTGCCCGTCCGGAAGCGCAGGAAGATCTGGACAATCTGGAGATGAACCGTCCGGATCTGGTGGAGGAGAACCGTGCCTGCCTGGATCGCATCCAGGTGCAGATGACGGAGGTCGACCGGAACATCAACCAGCGACTGGGACAGTGTCTCGGCTGAACAGTGGGGAGGTGCTGGGGAGTGTAGAATTTCTAGTAGAGAGTGATAATAAATTGGATGTTCATACGTGGCCGTAGGTTGTTTTCGATAAGCGGAGTTGCGTTATGAAATCGGATCGCGGCTTATCGCGGTGGTACAAATTCGATATTGGTCATTCGAAGGTTGTTAAACCGTATCTTATCGCGGGAAGGTATTTCGAGAACAATGTGTTGTTGTACATGGGTGCTAATGGCCCTAATCGGAGATAAGATTAGCCGGTAAGACTGGTCAGGGTGCAGTACTACGGGGGCTATCCAAAATCAGCTGAGGGTTCGTTGTTTGTTTGACGGGTCGTTGCGTAACTTATTGGGATTGCCCAGATGTATGGTTTGGTAGATTTAATGGGTCAGAACTACCTTTGGAACGCCTGATAGTTCAGGAACGGATTTCTGACTTTCTCAGTAGCTATCGCTTGAATCCTCCTGCAGCGATTTTTCAACTGGTCTAAACGTTTAAAAATCCAAAAATTCCTGGATTTTCCTACGGCAGTGCAGAATTTCTTGAAATTCAAAGAATTTCTATTGATTTTGAAGTTTTGAAAATACCCAAAAAAAATGCTAGAGAGCACGAGTTTCAGGAGTTTTTCGAGGTTCACGAGGCCTTTCACCAGAAATTTGGTGGACTTTCACCATAACTAATTCTTGTGAACTTCCCTCAAAGCTCCTGAATGTCACCTGAGGTTTTGTATTTGTCTCTCACGAATCTTGAAGTTGATAAGTCCTTTGGACTTACCATGGGCTTTCCAGAAGTCCTGTGAGTTTATCTCAGAAGCCCTAAATGTATTTCTTCCGATATCGCAGGCCTGTGAGCTTCCCACTGAAGTCGTTTGGAGCTCCCCTTAAGAGACTTCTTCATAGGTCATGGCCTGGAGTACACCCCGTGAAGTCATGTGAACAGGAGTCCTGTGCTCTTTTCCATAAAGTTCTCTAGAAGCTAATAGACTTCCCACAAATGTGTTGTGGTTTTCATCTAACGGAACTCTTTTAAACTTTCTGCCATATGTTGTGATCAACCTTCAGGAGCTTCTGTGAACTTCCACAGAAGTCCCGTGGAATTACCCCGGACAACATACAACAATACGCCATTTAGTATGGAATCCACAATTTTTTTACGACTTCTTTTGCGTAGTTATTTTGGATTGAACAGCTTACAATATTCGACGTTTTCATCGTCCTCGTCTTTAATCTAAGCACTTCAAAGGAAGGCGTGGTGATCTTTCTAAACGCAGCCATGAAATTTCTAAAGTTAAATCGAAACCCTTCAATGTCGGAAGTGGATATCAGCTGGGACCGTTGATTGGAGGACTTCAATTGGTCCTTGCAAGCTCAGAGGCAGATGGAGCTTACATGTCTAGAGGACTTCGACGGTACAGGTTCAAGAACCTACCGGACGCATTTGGGGGTTCTCCGCAAAGGCCGTAAGAAGTTTGACGTCAATCTGTCAAACGGGATTTCAAGGGTGAGTCTGTTCAACTTTCCTTCGCAAGAATGCCTCTGAATTCTTTGTCAGATATCCGAATCAACAGGGAAATCCTATAGCTTACTGTAGTTCACTGGAGCTGTTATCGAGATTCTCTGAACTTTTCCACGGATTGTTCATGGAGTCATCTACACATGTTGTAGTGGCCCACTTTGCATATCTCAAAGGCTCCAGGCATCGGAGGAATAAAGGACTTAGCCTAGAGATGCTTAGGATTTGTCATGGAAGTAGGACTTTCCATTAAGCGTTTTTTTGAGTCTACGGGACGTTAGAAGACAGATGTATAGAGATTTTAGACCCCCCTCCCTCTGCGTTGGCAAACGTTCATAGACACTCACCAACCCCTTTTGGCAAGCTACTCAGGAATGCCCGACTTCGTATTAAAAAAAACCCATATCAGAAACTTCGTAACCCAAACGGTCATCCACAGTCAGGGTATCTAACCTCACTGTGCGGGTCGTTGGGTCATCGGTCGCTCGGACACACTCAAACAATCGCTCAAAATCAGTATTAGTCATCACTTTACTTCTCCTACATTATTCTAAAAACTGAAATTTAACCCATTCTGCTGAGCACGGCACTCCTCCTTAGGCCTTCAGCGGAGCCGTACAGTAGTACATCTGCTCACGGATGTACTCCTCGAAGGTGTCCACCTGTTCGACCAGCTTGTCCAGGCAGCTCTGGTTCTCGGCGATGATCAGCGGCTTGTTGTACTCCATGGCATCGAGCTGGAACTGAACCAGTGGGAGAACCTGCTGGTCCCACATGTCAGCCGATTCCTGGTAGGTGCGGCGTAGATATTCGGCGTGATCCTCCGGATCGCTGACGGAGTTGTGGGTGGAGAAGGACCACAGGACGTACTCGCTCAGAGCGGTCGATAGACGCTGTAGCAGATCCAACATTTCGTGGAACGAGTACGATAGGTCGTCCTTGGCGACGGTGGTGAACGAAGAGCACAGGCTCATTGCGGAGGCCAGAACACGTTGTTCGGCAACGATCTGGGAAACTAGATCCAGCAGACAGTCCTCATCGCCTCCGTCGAGCAGCTTAGCGGCGATGTACGTGCGAACCTCATCGAAGCCGTATTCGACCGCGTTGCGAGCGTTGCCCAAGCTGACCAGGAGATCTTCGTTCATGTCGCGGTAGGTGGCGAACAGGCCGGTACGGGCAAACTGGAGCAGCTGATCCTTTTCCAGGCTGAGCTCTTCGAACTTGGGAGCATATTCCTTAACCACGGCGATCAAGTCACCCACGGTGTTCTTCTTGGCCGGGGACGAGGCCGGGGCGGCGTTGACGGCCACCTGCGAGATACGTGTGCGAGATTTATTGATTTATCAACGCGTTATTGCATGAACACCTGCGCGGCACAGGAAGAGCTGATAAACTTACCGATACGGCAGCTACTAGGAGCAAGGCGACGAGTTTCATGGTGCGATTGGTGACTAGAATTGAACTGAATAGCGAATCGCCTACCGGGCTGCCGGTTACTTATATACATTCTCCCTCAGAGGAGACAGGAAATTTCGCCAACCCCGCAAGATTAGATTACGTGAGCGTAGACTCGAGGAGATTGCGGAACCTGGTAATGGACTCTAAACAGGTGCGTTTTTTTTAAGCGGAACAACCCAGATTATCCACCTGATGTGTGTTATCTTCGTTGTGTAGTTTAACTACTCACCGGTAGATGATCCAATTTCAGCTCTGTTATCGCCGACAAACCGATATGAAACTTAAACTTATCTTTTGCTCGAAAATCTATTGGGGCCGATTCAAATTCGAGCTGTCAAAACCATAGGGTATTTTTTATTTATATAACAATATTTGGTCCAGAATAGATCAGACACGATCCAACGCATACATTTAGCACACGTGTTCGTGGCTTGGCTAAACGTTTTCCGCGGTCAGCTGGGTGATGCGGAGTGATGTTTTTTTTTCCAATGTTGGCTGCGCTGAAATAATTATTTTCATCGCCAATTGCATTTTGAGTGAAGCCCAAAACATCAAATCAAGAAGACTGGCATCTCTGCCAGAATGCAAGCGACAGATACAGTAGCGCTGCGCTAAAGTGAAGGTGGAAGTAACGCATAGAGAAGTGAGCAAATACACAAACCATTCTTCTGAGGTTGTACTCTTGTGACGCGATTGTGCCGGTTTCATAGCGGTCGTATGAGAAAATAGTAGAGTTGCCAGTCTTCTTGATATGTTGTCTCCGGTGAAGCCCAATCATGACTTTTTCATTGTTTGATTACGTTCGTAAATTCATGAAAGAAAAGGGAGAATCATATTCCACCATTTTCGGATGAAAATGTTTAGAGGAATGATGTTGATGCTTTGGAAAAATAATTTGGCTTACATGTTCACAACATCGCTTCATAAATAGAAAGTTCGAGGTGAACGTGAACATTTTTCATATTGATGAACTGCGACCGATTTTGATAAGGATACTTTTTAATTTGAACCCCTCTAATTTGCACACCGGGCAAACTAAAAATTGCTCAAACGTCATTCAGTATATGGAATGGAGGAAATCAAAATGGAACATTGCAAAACGGAAAGCATAATCAAAACAAAACAGTAAATACGCTTACCAGAAATATGCTTTTCTGATGCTGATATGATTACTAGAAGTGCAAATTGAAAATGAATCCCAGTAATATGCATGGAGTGTCAGAAATTGTATTCGTTTCTTCATACCGGGAGAGTACAAAAATGGTTCCATTTGGCAGCTCAAAATTGGTTCGATTTTGAGGTCCGTCTCCGCATCACCCAGCATGTCCGTAGTGTGATTTGAGCAGAAATTTCTTGATAATTTATATAGAGCACCGCACGAAAAAGCTAACCTCACATTTTGCCATGAGAGTAAAAGAGATAGCAACGAACGGGAGCCAAAACAAACCCAGCATAACTGTCATATTTCACCGGTGAGGAAAGGGGACGGGAAGATTTCTCGCGTCACTTTTCAAATAGACCAATCTACATTGATCGATTCTCTTCATCGACTCTCTATTTTTATCGTCCAATACGCTTAATAATACTTTCTGTTAACAGATTGTGTAGAAAAATTAGCCCGAAATATGAATGCAACCAAGATATTACCGAAAACGAGAGTCGATGACGAGACTCCATCCATGTAGATTGGTCTATTTGAAAAGTAACGCGATATATGGATTAGGTTTCACGCAGTGATCTATGGTCAGATTCATGTCGGTGCCTCTACGGTCGATTGAATCGAAACACTATCTAATCGGAAGATGATGACTATTTTCCGACTAGATGACCCCCCATTAATCTACACACGTAGAAAACCTGCGCGTTATAATCGCGTGTCAACTTCGTTTTTGTTCAGTTTCGTTTGATAACTCAACGAGAGCACAGTGAACCGGGAAGATGCTCCTAAAGATATCTCTAGCCGCAGCCACCTTGGCTGCGTTCAGCGTACTCCTTGCAGCTGCCGCTCCGTCCTTCGTCTTGTACCAGGAATGGTTCAGCAACTACAGTGCTATCGGTGAGGAGACCATGCAGGTGAAGCGTGGATACAATTCTAACAAAACGCTCCACTTCAACCAGCTACTCCTGCCGATCTTGTCCAATGGAACGGTGGAACTCCGTCGGGTGAATGCAGCTGCTTGGAACGACATTCAGAAGGCGGAAGTCGACAACCAGGACTGTCTGAACCTGGTTCATGACCTGTTTGAGATCTACACGCAAATTTCGGCCACTGATATGCAGAGCTGTGTGAGGAACGCCCACAATAAGCTGACTCCGCTCACGACAGACAGCTTCTTCCGGTATGCGAACTTTGTAAACCGGGAGCTGTCCCGAATTACGCACAGCTCTCTGGAAGCTATCGCCACCTATAGTAAGCTCCTGGAGATGGACAATGTGAACCAGATGCTAGAGGAATCCTATTACGACTTCAACTGGATGTACAACACCTACCAGGAGACGATCAATGAAGAATTGGCGAGATTCAACGAGGAACACCCGATCCTGTTGGAATTGGGAGAGTGCCTGGACAAGACGGTCTACTGGCATGAGAGTGACATGTTCTACGTGGTGAGTTACCTGGAGTGGTACTGCAACGAAGATGATGCCAGCGTGAAGAAGCAGTGAGGCGAGACTGGTGCGTGTAATTGTAGCTGGAAAAAAAAAATTTCCGTAGACAATAAAGATAATGGTTATGGCTTAACGGAGGCGAGTTTTCGTTTCTACTTCTTCTTTCCTTTACTGAAGGTCGGTCTCTGTTCTGCAATCGCGTGCTAATCACCACCGAATATCGATTGCCATCCATGGACGAGTGCATGCACTCGATAAAAAGTGAGACATGCTGCGGGCAATGTTTACTAACCATGAACACTATAAATGTTCATTGTTCAATATTCATGACCATTTAGTGTTCATGATTAGTAAACATTGCCCGCAGCTTGTGCCACTTTTCCCGTGTGAGTGAACCCAAAGCCATCCGTGCACTCGTCCATGGACGAATTTGAGTTCATGCACTGATGGAAGTTTGACAGGAGAGCGGGGCAATGCTTACTAAAAATGAACACTAAATGGACGAGTGCACCGATGAATTTGAGTTCACTCACTCGAGAAAAAGTGACACAAGCTGCGGGCAATGTTTACTAATCATGAGTACTAAATGTTCATTATTCATTATTCATGAACATTAAGTGTTCATGATTAGTAAACATTGCCCGCAGCTTGTGTCACTTTTTCTCGAGTGAGTGAACTCAAATCCATCGGTGCACTCGTCCATGTCATGAGTCTCCTGTCAAATTTACATCAGTGCATGAACTCAAATCCATCGGTGCTGTCGTCTATGGACGAGTGTTCCTTACCCTAATAAACAAATACCATAAAATAACGATAAACCAAATAGTCAAAAAAATTCACAAATGGTTTGGATGATACCCCCAACACTTCGTTAAGCAAAATAACCATAACATTTTTATTAGGGTAGTGTTGATAATTGGTAAACATTACCCGCACCTTTTCTCGAGTGAGTGAACTCAAATCCATCGGTCCATCCGAATGGAATGGCCAGGGAGGAAGACGTGAACAGAGATTTTTTGCCTCTGAAAAATCCCAACGACCTCGGCTGGGATTGAACCCACATAACCCACTAATTGGCGTTGACGGCGACTCTGTAGCTCTTTACTCCTATGAGAAAATCCATAAGCAAACGTCAGACTGTGCGTGAAACATGGCGGACTTTGTACTATCCTTTCAATCCACCGAAAATTCCCATAAGAAACTGTCTATATTTGCTGGAAGACCAAATTTTTCGACGGTGCCGTCAACGCCATTTTGCACGCCGTGCAAACTAAAAATTGCTCAAACATTATCGAGCACATGTAATAGAGAACACAACAGCAAATAAGGCAACCAGAAACTCGCTTTTCAGATGGTCGTAGGGTTACTAGAAGTTCAAATTAAAAATAAACATTTTTTTTTAGCAAAGAGGTACAATTTGAGGTACTAGCTTAAAGAAGTACAACCAACAATCAATACGAAACTAACGATTTTAAATTGGCTCACCACTTTAGTAGCCTATTGGTCCCAAGCAAACGATTAACGTACCCTATTCTAGTTGAAATTCTATTACTACATTATGTTTGTTTTGATTCGCTATGAAAGTTTGACAGATAACATCAGGGGTGTGTGGATTCATGCAGAACATGCAGGGGTGAGTGAAATAGCTTGGGACTGCTTGGGACCGTTGTTCTGGTACTGAGTGAGCCAAAAATAATAATGATTTTCTTCGGGACCCAGTAGTCTTAGAGTTACCTCTATGGTATAACCATAGAGGTAACTCTAAGACCACTGGGTCCCGAAGAAAATCATTATTATTTTTGGTTCACTCAGTACCAGAACAACGGTCCCAAGCAGTCCCAAGCTATTTCACTCACCCCTGCATGTTCTGCATGAATCCACACACCCCTGATGTTATCTGTCAAACTTTCATAGCGAATCAAAACAAACATAGTGTAGTAATAGAATTTCAACTAGAATAGGGTACGTTAATCGTTTGCTTGGGACCAATAGGCTACTAAAATGGTGAGCCAATTTAAAATCGTTAGTTTCGTATTGATTGTTGGTATAACCAACAATCAATACGAAACTAACGATTTTAAATTGGCTCACCACTTTAGTAGCCTATTGGTCCCAAGCAAATCGATTAACTTACCCCATTCTAGTAGAAATTCTAGTACTACGCAATGTTTGTTTTGATTAGCTATGAAAGTTTGACAGATAAAATGAGGGATTATTGGTTTTTCCTATGTTTCGAGGGGTGAATCGATTAGCTTGGGACCGAAGAGAGTACCAGAGCTGAGCCAAAAAGATGAGCACGTTATTTCGGGACCTTCTAGTCTTAGAGTTACCTCTATGGTACAACCAGTTTCGTATTGATTGTTGGTACAACCAACCGATGGAAACTACCGATTTTAAATTGGCTCACTACTTGACTAGCCTATTGG